CCCCCCCCCCCCACAACATCAGGCAGACCACCTCCCTTCAACCTGACCCCCCCAACATCAGGCAGGCCCCCTCCCTCCCTCACTTCAAGTCTCTGTTAAAACTCATGTGTTCTCTCAGGCGTGTCACTCAGTGTAAATTGATCCAGTGTTTTTTAATCTGTGATCCTGTTTTAAATGTTTTTATTAATTCTCCAGTTTTTATTATTAGTTATTGTATTTTTTCTCTTTAATTTACTCATTGATTGTTGTTGTTGTTGAGCACTTTGATAACAGGCTCTGTTTTAAATGTGCTCTATTAATATAGTAGACTTGACTTAAAGCAGACGGGCCGGCCACTAGACCCATGGAGGTCCAGACCACAAGGACCATGAAAGGTTCTGGTGTCACAATCACTTTTTATCCAACACAAGACCAACAAGGAGCACAAATGTCCTCATCCATCATCTTTACTCAGGTCTTCTTTTGGGGGGGCCACTGTGTGAGAGCGGGTGGACAGGTCTCCAGTCCATCACAGGGACACCTGGACAGGTTTCAGTCCATCACAGGGACACCTGGACAGGTCTCCAGTTCATCACAGGGACACCTGGACAGGTCTCAGTCCATCACAGGGACACCTGGACAGGTCTCAGTCCATCACAGGGACACCTGGACAGGTCTCCAGTTCATCACAGAGACACCTGGACAGGTCTCAGTCCATCACAAGGACACATGGACAGGTCTCCAGTTCATCACAGAGACACCTGGACAGGTTTCAGTCCATCACAAGGACACATGGACAGGTCTCCAGTTCATCACAGAGACACCTAGGGACAATTTAGTTACCGATCAGCCTAACATGCATGTTTTTGGTCTGTGGGAGGAAACCCACACATCACGGACAGAACATACAAACTCCACCCAGAAAGGTCCCAGGCCAGGATCCGGACCAACGGCCTTCTTGCTGAGAGGCGGCAGTTCAACCCGCTGATGCACCATGTTGTTTTCCCGGAGCCCAGCGGAACTTCGGCTCCTGGTCCTTTGTTTCTACTCGGACAAGGATCACAAACGGACGGTTGCTATGGGTTGCTAAAACGTCCGTGACCACACGTAGCTAACGATGCTAACGGCAGCTTGCCATAAAAAACGGCAGCAAACGCTGGTAAACATGACTGCTCGCGCTCTAACTTCGTCGATAAATCCAACTGTGACGTGTTTCCGGCGGAGCTAACGGAGGCTAACTGCGGGATTAGTTTTCATTAAAGTGCGTCTCTCAGCGGTTTGCGGTACGGCAGCCGGCTGGGACATATTGATGCTCAGACTCAACCGAAGGTGATCGATTATTCGACCAATCTAATCAGGCGGACTGATGAAGATGAGCAGGTGAGCTGGACAGTTTGGGTTCGGTTCTGAGTCAGTGTTCTCTGAGGGCGTTAACGTGAGAACACTGTGACCTTTGACCTTATTCGAGGCTCCACAGAATCTGAAGCAGCAGCCGTGATGCATTGTGGGAAAATGAACGGATACTGATCTGTGATCAGGCAGGAAAAGCTGCAGCTGATGTCCACAGAGGAACATTTGGACCGAGCTCGTCTGACTTTATAAGGTGATCTGAGGACAGCTGCTGAACAAGGTTCTGGTTCTGGATCCAAAAGGTTCCAGATGTTATTTGGTAAAAGTCCAGACCAACTCGGCCTGAAACTTATTGTTTTTTCCTGAAATATCATGAAGAATTTACCAGCTGTGACAGTAACTATGCACCTATCTGGACCGGGTCAGACTCAGAACCTCTCTAACCTCCATCTGCTCTCCCTTCAGGTTTGTGGGCATGACTGGCTCAGAACAGAACCAGTCTGGACTGGACCTATTCTTCCCCAGCATGTCGACTCTGGCATCATGTCAGACTGTGACCCAGCTGCTGTAAAGGAACCAGGTCTGACTGCCGGTTCTGCTGGTCCTGGCCGCCCTCCTCTGGCAGCCAAGGCCCTGTCGGAGTCCTACGGTCAGCTCCGGTACCGGGACACGTCCCTGCTGATCTGGCAGCAGCAGCAACTGGACCTGCAGACGGCACCGCCCTCCACCTACCTGACCCGGAGCCACTCCGCTTGGTACAGCAGCTATGGTAATCAGGCGGTTCTGATCCGGGACAGGAAGTGCCTGCAGGGCTCAGAAGGCCAGTCCAGAATCTGCAGCATCATGTAGAACAGGAACCAGTTTCTCCTGATCAGAACTCGGACTGAGATCCAAACTCTGGTTTTCAGCAGACTTTTCTGAATCTGAACTTGGGTCAGTGGTTCCCTCGTCTTTGTCTGCCAGGCAGCAGTTTTTTTTGTTTTGATTTTTACCTGTCCGTGAAGTTTGACCTTCTGACCTCCACCAGATGGATCCAACAGGCCTCAGAGTCAGACCTCCATCTGTTCGTTAGACATGCTTTAAAACATTTGGAGGAAGTTCTTCTGAACTTCCTGCTTGTTTCTGTTTAAACATGGCGGCTCGTTGCTTCCAACATCTTTGTATTAAATTATATAAACATCAACTCTTCAGACTGACCAGACCATGTGGCTCCATCAGGTGTTTGTTGCACATTTATGATGTCAGCAGGTAAATGACATCATAAACTTAGATCACTCTGGTCAACGCTGATTTAAGGCGACGCCCATTCGCTCTCCATTTAAGAAGCTCCTCCCTTCCCACTTATCACTCCTACCCGGGTCATCGCCCAGGTGTCTCAAAAGGAACGCACCCTCAGTGCAGACTCCTGAAACTTCACAGGAATCATGGGAAATGTATCTGGTTGTGTTCAGATGAACTCTGGATCACATGCCAACATCAGAGTTTCAGCAGAACCTGAACAGAACCCGTTCAGAACTTTGTCTTGGGTTCATCACTGATCGTGTTGGGTCATGTCAGTTTAAACTCTGAAGGAATGAAAAGAAACGTTTGGATCCAACAGCAAAACAGAATTAAAGACTGATGGTGAGCAGAGATCTTGGTGTACGAGGTGCACCTGAACGCATCATAAGCTGACGAGACTTTAGAAAATGTGAATAAAGTTCATGTTTCTGGAGAAATGACAGAAAACCACCGTCAGATGTTTTAATGGATGTTCTTTTGAGATTTTACTGAAAGAACAGAAACTTTTTCTCTCTCCTTCAGTCAAACAAGAAGAACTGTTTTTTGTTTTACCGTTGTGTTCAGACTTGTTTCAAAGTTCAGGAATTAAAAAGAAAAATGTTGAAACTCTGTGTTCGTGTCAGGACTTTGACCCAAACCTTTCCAGAAGACGTGAAGAGGAACATGGAGATGAGAAAACTGTTACCTGCCTGTGGACGGTCCAACACCTGAAGCTGCAGCAAACTTCAACGAGTCCGTCTCCGAGTTCTGCTCCGTTTGAACGTCTGCACCCAAAACCCTTCAAGATGGCCGCCAGAGCTAATCGACTTAGCCAACATAAATATAGCTACAACGTATTCGCTTCTCATCGTGGGTCTGAACCGGCAGGCTGAGCCGCTCCTCCAGAAGAGCTGAAGATGTCTGGACCTCCCTGATCCAGCTGCTGCCTCAGGACCCGAGTCCAGAACCAGAAGATGGACGACGTCTTCTTTCTGTAACTTCTGTGAAGTCCAAAAGTTTTCAGTAAAATAAAAACGGTCGACTCGTCCTCAAAGTATTTCTAACATGACTGAGTACTGTGACAGTATTTGTACACAGCACTTCGTGTACAATTTACTCACTTCCACCAACAAAAGCTTCACGTGTTCAGATTCAAAGATGGAGTCCAAGTGTCTGCGAGGAGGCGTGTCCTGTTCTCACCTGCTCTGGTTTGAGGTGAGCAACAGGAAGTGAAGGAGTCGAGGCTCTTCCTCAGTTTATGTGTTTATTTATGAAAACAAATTAACTCAGAAAATAAGGATCCCGTTTCGGTAATTACATCGAATAATCCACTTGTTGGTTTTTGTCGGTTCGTCGTCTATCGAGCGGAGCTCCGCCTACACCTCAGACAGCTACTTACAGCTACTATACAGTGCTCAAACATACAGAACGTACGGCCGGAGTGCATGCAGATACATAAAATCACTTTGTCCTTTTCTTAATAAAATACAAAAATTAACTACGAGCGCCAACTAAAAACAAACAGGAGGGTTACTGTGGCAACGAGCTGTCCAGTCACATGGAGGGAAACATGGTTCTGATTGGTTGGTTGATCCGTCACCAAAGTGTCAATAAAATAATAAAAAAGAAATATATATTTTTTAATGTCACATTTGAACACTGTCTCCATGACGACTCCGTGAACTTTGGCTAAAATAAATGTAAATAAGCGCGTTTAAATCAGACAGGAAGCGCTCCGGGGGCGTGGCGCGAGTCAAAGACTTTATTTAAAAATGTTTCTCTTTAATCGAGGAGCCAGGGCCGAGTCCAGCCAATCAGGAACTGCCGTTACTTCCTGGTAACCATGGTAACAAAGGAAACATCATTAACTGCACCCAGGAAATTAAAAACTGCAGAGAAAAAAATAAAAACCCCACGGAGGAGCTGAAAGTCAGATTCACGCTCTCAGAACTGACAGTGAACGCCTCACATCTTCTGACCCCGCCCACCTCACGTCTCGGTGTTTCACTTCTTCTGTGGATTTGCTGGATCATCTAATCCCACTCTGCTGGCTCCAGATTCAACTTCCTGGTTTGGTTACCAGCTGACTGATGAATGTTATGGATCACCGAGTTCTGGTTCTGGAGGGGAGCGAATAGAACCCAGAACCACCACGCTCCTTTCAATAGTAAAGGTGGATCGGACCGGGCTGCAAGGAGGTGGCGAGCAGCCTCTGTGAGTTTCTTTAGTGTCCAGGACGTCTTGCAGCACAGATCAGAACCTACAGTCCACCTGACAGAACCTATGGTCCATCAGAACCTCCAGAGATTTAAAACAGGGAACTTTTTAAAAGAGAAACTCTCTGAAGTCCAAAGGATGGAACAGTTTTTGTTTCTGTCAGTGCCGGCTTCATGTTCGAACCCAAACAGGAAGCTTGGTAAACAAACTCGAATCGGGACTCTCGGGTGGTTCTAGTGTGGTCTGGGCGGGGTCAGGGTGGAAGGGGGCGGGGTCAGGACAGCGGTACAAAGACATTTTTTATACTGAGAACTTTATAAGACACAAAGAAGTTCAGCACACAATCTGGAAACTCAGAGGAGGAAAGAGAAATGTAGTGTTAGGAAAATGAAAGTCCGTCTCACCGCGTGGACAGAGAGCCTGCTGCGTTGCCGTGACGACCCTGGCACAAACAGGAAGTGGAGGATTTTAGGGTCGGAGGAGCAGCGGAAGGAAGGCTTTCGTCTCAGGTGGGTGAACGAAAACTGGAGGTGCTGCAGAGAGACGACCCGAACAACGGATGGTTCTGTTCGACCCGGTTTGGATTCATCAGAAGTTGGAGTTCAAAGCCTCAGACACTGGTTGAAAGGGTTTCTTTAAATGTTTTGCTCTTTTATAATCATTTCTTGTTGTAGTTTGTTTTGACACGTTGGATAAGATGAAATCAATTTGTTCTGATCGGATCGTCTCTCTGCGACACCTTCACACTAAACTCCTCCTCCTCGTCAGGTGATGTCACACATCAGTCCGTCTGCCCAAAGATAAGCCCCGCCTCCTCTCCCACGATGCTCTACAGGTGATTCTGGAATGTGTTCAGAGGTCAGGGGTCACCGCCGGCTGTCCGTGAGGAAGAAGAGGAGGAAGAGCTCCGATCAAATTGACTCCGCCCTTTCTTCTTCTTCTCCTGCTGAGGTGAATCGTTGCTTCTCCTCCTCCTCCTCCTGTCCACATTCTTCCAGGAGGAAAATAAACACTAGGAGCTAAAAAACAGGTCAGCCTATTTACATACAGTCTCCATGTCTGGGTGTGTGTGTGTGTGTGCGTGAGCAGTCCTCCTGTTTGTGTTTGTTCAGGATGAAGGTACATCAGTGTGTGTTCGTTTTAGCTATGTGTGTTTTCAGTCTGTGTCGGAGGAAGAGGAGGTTCCTGTCGAGGAGCTGTCATCAGATGAGGAAGAGGAGCTGCCACTCAAACGACTAGCCCCGCCTCCGGAGGCCCCGCCTCCAGCTGCCTTTTCTGAAGGAGAGAGAACAGGAGAGGAGTCTGTGTGATGGTTTTTCTGGACGTGAGGTCGCAGGTGTCTGTACTCACGCATCAACTTCCTCTGCTTCTTCTGCAGGCAGGACTTGACGTAGCGCTCCAGCTCCCGAAGCGTCGAGGGTTTCAGCGTCTCAAAGTCGATCTCGATCTCGTCGGGGTTGGAGTCCCTCAGCGACGGCTCTCTGGACTGGATGATGTGCACGACGCGGCCCAGTTTCTCCCCCGGCAGCCGGTTGATGTCTAGGCTCAGCTGCCGCTTCTCGTCATACGACATGGGCAGGGACGACTCCTCGCCGTCGTCTCCGTTGGCCGAGCCGGCGCCTGACGTCTTGGTGGCTTTCTTCGGTTGCCTGGAAACAAACGGCCGCTCTCATTGGTTAATAAACCTCCTACAACACAGCAGCAACAGGAGCATGAGGAGCTGGGTCTTACAGGTGAGGGGTCAGAGAGCTCGTACCTGGTGGCCGTGACCGTGCTGTTGGCTTTCCTGGCTGGTGCCTTCTTCTGATTGGCTGGTTTAGGCTGCTGGGCGGCCGCCTTAGGTTTCTTCTCTTCTTCTATCTTGGCTTTGTTCCCTTTGTCTTTGTCCTTGTCCTTCTTCTTCTCCTTGTCTTTCTTCTCTTTCTTCTTCTTTGGTTTGCTGACGGGTGCCTGCGACAGGACGGCCAGCTGCTCGTGCACGGCCTTCAGCTGGTGGGAGACACTGATAATCAACACCTGCAGCCCGTCATCAGACTCCGCCTTCACCTGATCAGGTGTTCTGACAGAAATGTGACTCAGACTTTCTACGCTTTGCTAAATGAATCTACAGAGACATTAAAGAAGGAAACAGAGATGTTCTTGACCTGTGATTGGTCGGCAGCACCAACCTGCTCCTGTAGCTCGGCCAATCGCGTGGCTCTCTCCTCCTCGGAGTCAGACGATTCGTCAGAGGAAGAGTTGTTGCTGCTGTCGGAGGAGGCGGTGCTTTTACTGACCAGCGGCGTTGTAGATGGGACAGACACCTCCAGGCCCTCGTCTGGGATTTTGGCAAAACGCATCTCAAACACGTCCTAACCACAAACAGAAAGACAGGCAGAAAGACAGGTTGGCACAGTGAACAGACAAACAGCACCTGTTCAGGTGAGGGGCGGAGTCGTACCTGCAGCTTGCGGGCCATAGCCACCACCTCGTGATCTGGAGGGTTGTACTTGTAACAGTTGGAAAACATTAACCTGACGTCGGTGGCGAAGCTCTGCGGGTCGCTGTACTCTCCTTTATCCATTTTTTTCTGGAGGAAGACATACGTGAGCGTGAGTCCTCCAAGATGTTACAAACAACGAACCATGAGCCGACACGTTACAAACAACGAACCATGAGCCGACACGTTACAAACAACGAACCATGAGCCGACACATTAGAAACAACGAACCATGAGCCGACACAATACAAACAACGAACCATGAGCCGACACATTGGAAACAACGAACCATGAGCGATACATTACAAACAACGAACCATGAGCCGACAGGTTACAAACAACGAACCATGAGCCGACACATTAGAAACAACGAACCATGAGCCGACATGTTACAAACAACGAACCATGAGCCGACACGTTAGAAACAACGAACCATGAATCCTGCAGCATTCACTCTATCGTGATCCATTTTTATTCCGTACGTTTTCGTTGCAATTCTGGTCCCACGCGTTGTTTTCAAGCTTTCAAAACAGTCATAAATCAGAACATTCAAGGCTGCACAGAATGATGGAGTCAGTCTCCCCACCATCACAGACATCTACACCTCCAGATGCAGAAAGAGGACCACCTGCATCATGAAGGACCACACTCACCCAGCACACACTTAGTGGTTAGCACTGTTGCCTCACAGCAAGAAGGTCCTGGGTTCAATCCCCGGTTGGACCTGGGGTCTTTCTGTGTGGAGTTTGCATGTTCTTCTCGTGGTGCGTGGGTTTTCTCCGGGTACTCCGGTTTCCTCCCACAGATCAAAAACATGCATGTTAAGGCTCCCACAGAGTCGGGCGTTCTGTGAGCCACACGGACACTACGTGCACTGTGCACAGATGAGTAAAACTTCATACTCGAGTGTCCACCCCGAGCAGCTGCAGAGCAGCTCCGCAGACAAGGGGCGTTCACCTTCGGGACAAATTGAGGTCGCCGATTGGTCATTTGCTGACACGCCTACTAGACTGATTGGCAGGTCACACACAAAAAAAAAAAACAGCTGGCAGCCCAGCTGCAACGGTGTTCTGTGTTTATATGTTGTTAATAAAAAGTTCTAAAAAATAAAAAACAGGGAGCGCTGGTCCTGCAGCCCACACATCAGACCAGCCCACCAGGAAATCTCCAGACCCTCCCGCAGCCATGCTGGACCTGAGTTTAATTATGTCGTAACAAATTCCTTCACTTCTCACAGTTTCAGTCATGGCAACGGAGGAGGAGGAGGAGATCACTGCCTCTAGGAAAAAACAAACAAAAGGCCTTTAAACCAGACCAGGGATGAAGAAGAGGAATTTAATACATTGGTGTCACAAACAAAACAGTACGTCGCCTGACAGTTTATTGTGCGACACCGAGTACGTGTACACGGTCGTAAAAATGTATCTTTGCACGGACATGCACTCTAATCCGGTACGCGCGGACCTCCGCGCACCGAGGTACACCCGAGTATGTGAGAGCCTTTAGTCTGCCTTCAGGCCCAGGCCTCCCTTGTAAAACAGATCTGTGATCTTAATGGGATTTGCCTGGTTAAATGAAGGTTAATAAATAAACACACTTCATGCCCCGCTCCCCTCAGGAAGGAGGTTGAGGAGCATTAAGTGTAGACCGGATCCGTCCCTGAAACCAGTCCGACTCCCCGCCCTGGTGTCTGGTTCTTTTATTCCCAGATGGAGAGGAAACTCGCTCTAACGTAAATAAATCAAGAGATATAATTTCCGTTTACCAATTGAATGTTCATCAGGCAGAAGAAAGTTACAGGTTCAGCGCTGAGTCCAACTCGTGTTAAGCCGGCAGCAGAAGCCCCGAGTCACAGAGCGCCCCAGCTTTTATTGGGCCTTGGCTCCGCCTTCACTTCCAGCAGCACAGCACAGAGGTATCAGTGGGGTGACTGCGTGTGACGTCACTGGTCTTATCTGTTTCTGATGGTGAATAATGGATGTAAGTGCAAATCTATCCACGTGAAGGAAGCCAGCAAAATAAAAAATGACTCCTTATCGGGTGTTGACCCTGGGAAGCTCGTTGAAGAGCAGCTGGGCCCGTCTCATCTGAACAGAAACGGGCCATAACTGGTCCGCCTCTGTGCAGACAAGACCGGGGTCTCAGCATGATAAAGATAACTAACATAACTGAGACCCTGAGTACATCATTTCATTCCACCTCAAGTACCACATGTGATGTGAATGACAATAAAGAACCCTGAACGTGTTCTTTTGGTTTTCTTCTGCTAATTTACTTTTGTTCTACATTTTCCTCTATCTTAGCATTTTTAACTACCATATTTTCGGCCGTACATGTCACACCGCCCTATAAGTCGCATCGGTCCAAAAATGTCTAATAAAGTGGAAAAATTCATGAATACGTCGCTTTGCTGGATACATCGCATCTATTATGTGTCACCGCTGATGTGTCGCGTTTGTTACACGTCACCGCTGACAACCTGGAAACGTGGGGCGAACCCAGAAATGTGGGCCGGTGTTGTGCCAAAAATCGATGGGCTGCCAAATGGCGGCCGCAGGAGCGTGCACGGGAGGACTTTAACAAGAATTCAACAAGATTAACACTTAAAAAACATTATTTGTTTGCTCAAAATTATACTAAATGTGTGTCTCAGTGTAACATTTGCTTAATAAATGCACTCTGACATCAAATGAGCTGTATTTCAAAAATAGTTTCGCTGCCTCGGTGCTCCCGGGGCACGCAGAGGGAGGAAAAAAGGGAGGAGGAACGCTACTTTTTTAAATTGAAATTGAACAAGAAAAGCACCTAAACAATTATTTGTTTGCTCAAAATTATAGCAAAGGTGTTTCAGTCTAACGTTTGCTTAATAAATGCACTTTAATGGTCAAATGAGCCGTATTTCATCGGGGCGGTGCAGCTGGACTGACGGTCGGTCTAAGCAGCGAGCAGAACCAAGGTGGGAGGCTATGGCAACCCGACTGCATCGTTAAATCTGGTGAAGATTCCGTTCTGCGGCCATCAAGTGGCTGAAAGTGGTACTGCTTAAAAAAGGTCCAGTCAGAATGAATGATAACTATCATATCTCATCCAAAAAATGGTTTATAAATATGGGAAAATATCCATAAATATGTCGCAGGGCATGTAAATTATGCAAAAAAAGTGCGGCTTACAAAGCGGAAAATACGGTAATTTCAGCTGTTTTCAGAAAAATTCTAAATTTTTGTGGTAATTTCTGCTACTTTCAGCCTAATTAACTTCTTTCTGAGAAGGGGTCGAGATGGGCCAGAGGTAGGGAGGGCAGGTAGGGCGACTTGGAACCAGAAAGTCGCAGTTCGACTCTCAGCTATTCCCACATTAGCAAGACACCTAATCCCTAACATCTCCCCTGGTGCTTGCATAGCTGCCCACTGCTCCACCTGGGTGTATTCCAGTAGAGGCGCATTCAGGCCGAAAAAATATGACCCGTCCCGAACCCGTTTCATTTCTTCTGAGCCCGACCCGAAACTGCCCAATTAACTGTGATTAGAGGCCGGAACTCCCAAACGTATTCAAATAAAGGAAGATAAAAGATTTCATGTTTATTAACAAGAATCAGTGGATTATTATACTTATAATATTATAGTAATTAGTTATTATAATATTAGTTATTATAATATTCTAGTTATTATATTATAGTTATTAGTTATTATAATATTAGTTATTAGTTATTATAATATTAGTTATTAGTTATTATAATATTCTAGTTATTGTATTATAGTTATTAGTTATTATAATATTATAGTTATATTATAGTTATTATATTAGTTATTAGTTATCATAATAGTATAGTTATTAGTTATTATATTATAGTTATTAGTTATTATAATATTCTAGTTATTATATTATAGTTATTA